TTTAACAGCCCTACAAGTATGTCTCTATTTTCGCAAAACCAGAACAAAAAATTATCAACTTATATTCTGAATGGTTTATCAAATTCTAAGTAGGCTAGCCGTTAAGAACATGGATTATTTTGTTCATGGTTTTGTTGGCTTTGAAAAATAATTTTATATACAGGTTAATCTTGTATGTTATCAGGCGAATCACTTTTTAGTTATAATAGTAAATGAATATTGACTAAAACTTATAATATTCACCTTATGTGCATATGAATGGAACAATGACTCCTGCGACTGCCTGTACAAGCTCTTGTAATATGGTTGATGAGCTCCATGGTTGAAATACCCACCACCACTTTTCCAGCTGGACGACGACTCTGAAGGTGAAAAGCTAAAGCTGGCCTGCGAGTAGAAGCTCCTTGGGGAGGTGGAAGAGAATCCATGGGGGTTGGTGAGGTCTAAGGTGATGGTTGGTTGAGAGAGTGAGGGGGAGATAGAAGGGTTGCTTGTATAGAACTGAGCATTCTGGTGTGAGATGTCTGGAAATGAAAAGTTTAGGCCAGTGGTGATTTGGTGGGGGGATGTCACTGGAAGGGAGGATGAGGAAGCAGAAATGAGCATGGAGGCGGCGGCCGCGGTGGTGGAGGCCATGGCGGTTGCCGAGATGGGTAGTGGATGGTTGTGATTTCCTTCATAGGTAGAGATCAGAATGGACATGTCTTCAGCACATCTTTGCACCTGTAATATTGACACGACAATGTAAAACATTTTTCAGAAAGTATGGCTTTTACGAGAAAATGGTAGTGTTGATGTGTAATTTATATAAAACTATGTTTTCTCACATTTGAGTTGCACTTCTAATCTTATTGTTAATAACACTTTTAAATCACTTAAACTTTGATTAAAATTAGTATTTAAGTTACAATCTGAAACTAAGTCTTACTGTAGTAGATTATTTTGTCATATTCTCAAATAATGTGTAGCAATAACGCAAATTATATTTGTGAAGTGTAAATGATATCTTCATTTATAAGAAAAAAGGTCCAAAAAATTGAATTGTAACTATAAATAAGTGATGCACGCAATCAGGAGGATGATAGAAGGAATCATCATGTTCATCATATTAACCGAAGTATGCTCCCTTTTTATTCGTTTTACTTCACAAAAATGACTGTTTTCATTGGAATTACGCATGAAGGAAGTGCAAGTACATAGTTTTGGGGATGAATGGAAATTTCATATTCATTTCATTGCAACTGCTTAGCAAATAGTCACAATTTATTTTGTTTTGCTGCGCTATAATCTTAATCAACTAGGTTTATCTCTTAAATAAATCTTTGTTTTATCCGTTATTGAGAGGTGATTCTCATTGACTCAGCATACATTGCTAAGTCTTCATTTCAAATTAGATGATACATCACAGGCAAGTGGATTATACTTAATTATCTCATTTTCTTAAAGAGTAGTACTTATCCACGAGTTTATATATACTTAATAACAAGGCACTGTGACATGTATTTGTAACTTATCATGCTAACCTATTTACTGCATACTTATGTATTAAAGTAACAGAGTAGGTTAAAACAAAGCTAATTTCAATGATATCTATAAAAGATAAAGGGGCTGAGATAAATCTGAAAAGTTTGAATTGGTTGCTCAGTAGTTAATTGGTTGCTCAGTTGTTACAGTCCACCCTTGTACATAAAGGATAGCCCAACAATAGGAGATAAATAGAACTTAAAGAAGGTGGCTAGAATTCGGGGCATCAAAGGAAGACTCTAAGCTTAATCGATCACGGATAGGAGCTCCCGATGATTAATTAAATCTATACATGAGGGTTAGGAGAAATTATTATGTCCGGACATGACATGATATGTTTTGACGGTGATTCATTGTTCACAAAATTGTTATATGATTCACACCATCGTCTGAACATCCGTGGAAACATTTTCTATCAAAATGAATGGACGAACAAATTCCAACAAGAAGAGAATATTAAAACATTTGGAGGAATAATAAAAATATAATAAAAAAGTATTTTTAATGCTTTTAATAGTTTTGGACTCGTTTTTTTAGATTTTCTTTTTAAATACATTTTATTAATTGATAGGGTGGGCTCATAAGTCAACGGGTTTTAGATAGGGTGGGCTCCACTTTGGCTCCTTAGCCCGCCTAAGTTGTCTCATTGAGAAATTTATTGAGCTAATCTGGGCAGTTTAGAAAAATCTTTGAATTAAATATACCCATACCAGAAATTACAAAAATATAAAATAATAGATAGTTAGAACCATCAAAATTAATAAGGAAATGATCTCTAAAAAAGTATTAAGGAAATTCTATCTCATAAACAACCTTGTTTTTCGACCCATTCCTCTTTAAATCTAATTTATTTCATCTTAATCACCTTTTTAGTCCTCTATTTCATTAAGTAAATTTTGAATTTAATCACAACAATACATGTTTCTCTATATAGGTTGCAAAATTTATATGCGTCTGCTGATCATGTTCTAATAAAAAGAAATATTGGATTGTGTCTGTCATCTATTGTTACAGTTGCCATTGCACAGTTATAATATTTATATTCTGAAATAAGTTCTAAGATATATATTATGTTTACTTGTTGTAACTGTCAATAAGAATCTGAACCCACATAACATATGCCATCCTTAATATAAACAGAAATGCAAATTAGTCGTACACAAAGAACTATATTTTGTAGGATATAAAATATTCAGACTATGAACATACTTGCTTCCGGACTGGGCATCCAGGTGCAACAGTGCAACGATAGTAAGCTCGTGGACAGGGATTTCCTTTAGAAATCTTCTGCCCATATTTTCTCCACTGGCATCCATCATTCATCTGCAAGAAGTTCAATTTCAATGTCAATTTAAGTATCAGGAAATCATGCCACATAATTAGCAGCAGCAAAAATAATATGATCATAAAATGGAGTGTTATGAAAAAAAATTGATAAAAAAAAGGACAAAATTTGATTGGAAATATCAGACATCACTAGTTATTATTATTTAAAGGACAATATTCTTGTATTACCGTATGTGCATCACATCTTGCCCTCACAGAAACCCTAGCTCTCTTTACTTGTACTTGTGGTGAAGCTTCATCTTCTTCAGATTTTAAATTCTTCATTGCTTTGCTTGGAGGCCATCTCTGATCCCCAACCGCTGTCTCTTCTTTGTTTTCCGTTCCCTCTGAGCTGCTTTCCAGACTATTACTCTGCTGAACTTCATTTTTAGCATCATTTTCTTCCTCGTCCATTTTGCATTCCATACCAAGTGCAAGACCTCTTTTAATCTGATTATCCTTTTCACCTTTCGTTTCTTTGCCATTGCAGCTTGTTTTCTCCTCTTGCTTTATCATGAAGCTTGGACCAGATCCAAGGCAGAGAGATACAAGTTCGTGTTCATTGTTATGAAGTGACAGGGAGGAGGGGTCAGCCTCGGCTGGCTTTTGTTTGGCTTGTCCTCGCTTGATGATCTCAAAGATGCGCGTTTGAAGAGACTGATAATCCCTTAAAATTTGCGCTAAGATGGCCTTTAATCTTTCATTTTCTTCTCTAACCTCGCACATCGCTTCTTTAGTGGATTCAAGTTGGACTTCCTGCATGCAATTAGTGCACATGTAAGTGTATGGCAACGGTATATCACATAAATTAAGTCCATAATACCTCATTAAAGTTGCAAGCCATGTTTTCTTTTTTCTTAATCCAAAACAAAAAAAAAAGTATTTTTTATTTCTGCATTAACAATAAAAGTTGGATCAGTTATTTAATATAATATTCAATTATAAAATCATAATTCAATGGAGAATAATTCTAATAAATTGATCATGAAGAGTTGCTGAGTTCCTCGAGATAAGCTAAGTAATAAATTTCTAGAAGTTAACAAAACATTCAAATAACCTTCCTGCTGGAATCTCCATGAGCCATTTATTGCCATATTAACCATGCGATGGGAAACTAGACCCCTCTATTTTTATAAAATATCTCATCAGACTTTAATATGCTGCCCAAAACAACTTGTCATTTGCATGATAAGATAAACTATTTAAAATTTGTTGATTGCTTATAGATATGACTATAAACTGAAGTTCATTGTCTCGGTTCAAACACAACTGATTACCAAACATTTACTAAATAGAAAAAGAAAGAAGAAAAAATAAAGCATGAATGTCTGATTATGTTGGAAAGTTACATGATTTAAATAAATAGCACAAGTTGGGCAATCAGTTCAAACCTGGTAATCAATTGCAGGATTAGTTTGATTGGGGGAAGCAGATGGCTTTGAAGTATTCCCACTGTGCACTGGTTTTGCACCTAGAACCCCAAACTTCATCTTCTGTTCATTATGTCAAACAAACATCAAAGAAAAATATTAAGAAACAAGATGCTCAAGTTCTAGTGGTCTTATGACAAATAATTAACTATATTCCAAATAATACCCAAATTTAATTGCAAATGATCATAAAAAGGAGCAATTATTGCGTACGGATACCACACGTAAATTTGCGCGCGGTGTCAGATAAATATCACTGAAATATATTTTTAATTTTTTTTATTGTTAGAGTGGAACCACTCTAAATTTTTTTACGATCCTGATCGGACGCCTGTGTCTGTACGCAATAATCGGACCATAAAAAGTGGGTCTAAAGTGAAATTCCCTATTGCATAAAGATGTGGGGAAGTCAAATAAAACCTTGGCTTTACAATCAAACCGAGTTTTAATCTCAAACAGCACTCCTTAAAGAGAAGAAATCAAAAGAAAATAAGAAGCAAGGAATTCATGAACAAGCAATAACTAGATTAAAGTAAAAAGAAAGGCCAGCTAGCTCGGGTTAATCAATCCCTCCATCTTAGGAAATTTCATATCAAATTTTTAGCATGTATCTATGCATACAAAAAAGCAATAATAATAGAGAAATTTTGCAAACGCAGCACAAGAAAGCCAAAATTGAAGTAATAAGAAATCAGCTATTCAAATCAATTAAAGCCAAAAAAAAAAAAAAAAAACTGTTTAATTCTGAAAGAGAAGAAGCACCTCTTCAGCAATCTCCCCACCTCCTTCATCACCATTAATAAAATCATCACCCTTCATCCCCTCTTTAAGAACAGCTGCAGAATTCTTCATCAGCTCCAATTCAATCCTCTTGCTTATTTTCCTATTTCCAGCTATCTTATAAAAGGACGCTTCACCTTACGTTGACCGTCTAATACAAATATCCTTATATAAAACCCGTACCTGCCTCCCTTTCCTTCTTCCTCTTACTTTCCATGTACCTTAAACCATTAGTATCTCTCTGCTTCGTTTAAGAAAATAATACTTCATGTCAACGGTCTCAGTTGCAGTGCAGGAAGCAAAAGGAAAAATCTAACACGGCGGATCCATGTTCATTTGAACGTGTGAGACATGTCGTCTGCAATCGTCATCCTGCGGCCAGGCGTTGTTCTATAGAGAGACTCGGAAAGACATTTCTTTTGCATTTTATGTTGTCTTAATTTTCAATCACTTGAATTCATGTTGGCAAATCAGGACTATTCATTTTAAAGATGTCATTAAATTGGCAAGATGTCATAAATGGCAAAATCTTAAGATGATTTGATCATAATAGAACAGCAACCTAAGAAGTTCTATGGATACTGAGATGCATGACATTTATAGTGTAAGGACATGTAATATAAAATAATCTATTCATATTTAGAAAATGAAAATTAATCATATTTTAAAAATAATATAGAAGTTCCAAAACTTTTACTTTGCGCGCAGGCAATAAAATATTAAAAAAAAAATCAATTAGTTCTCCAAGTTTTCCTTAAATACTATATATCAATACCAATATGAATTATATTAATGTTGTATTTTTTTTTAAAATTAATGGTATACAAAATGACTTACTACAAAAAAAGCCAGAAGAAGTGATAAAATAACTGGAGGCATTTATGATTGCCGATTATTTTTTATGACAACCGATGGTTGTAAGGATTGGAAAAGAACTGGTGGCTATAAGGACTGATAAAAAATCGATGGGTTGTGAGCGTCTATAGTAATGGCTAATGGCAAGCCAACATGTTCTACACGTATGTTTACTTAAGTAAAACTTACGGCTTGGGCCTTCAAAAATCCATCAACTAGGTTATAAAATTCAAATTGACCCATCGAAACCCTCATTTTTCTATTATCTTTTAGCGCAGGAGCTTTTGGCGGAGCAATGCCTTAGGACTTGAATTTTCTCAAAAACAACAATTTTTCATATTTCTCAAAGATAAACTATGTTTATATTAATCTTGAAGTTTTTTCTTTTTAAATTTTATCTGTTAAAGTTCATGATTTTAGGATTTTTAGAGTTTTGAGAGATTTCTAAATTTTTGTTTTAATTTCTTTAATTTTTGGGATGTAGTTCATTCTTTCCACATTATCATCACATTTAGGGCTTTGATTTTGTTATTGTTGCAATTTGTTGAAGCACTACGTTAAATTAGGTTGTATGTGTGTAAACGCCCAATAGTTAATAGTAGGGTTTAATGAGGGTCAACTTGCAACAAAATTAATGTAATGAACATATTTTGAATGACAAAATTAGACTGCCTAATACTACATAACAAAGAGAGAAATTGTCGGTTATGTAACTTAATTTTGTTCATGATTCTGAGAAGTGCTCCAAGTCTTGCGAGTGGTCATTCTATTATTTATAAAATCATGATTTCATGTTCAAATTTTACGACAAAATAATCTTAGACTTAAAACCTTGATGTCAAAGAATATAAGTATATTCAATAGTTCATTAATAATTTTATCCAATCAAGTGTAAATATAGGTACAATTTTATTAAACACAAAACTCTAAGATTCATTTCGAAACAATTCAAAACTTTTACAAAGTTATAGTTGAAATTAAAAGTATTAATGGGAAAAAAATTGCTATGTTTTGTTTAGAGGAACTTGTTTATTTCAATCTGAATCAAGAACCCTATGCAAAATTAAAAATTTTATGACACTTTATGAGGTTGAATTTAACTTTAGGTTTGGAAGAATGCAAGGGATTGACTAGGAGACTTTACAGTCATCTACATGAGTTTTCCATTTTTCTCTCTTATTGTTTTCTATTTAAACATGTTTAAGAAAAGTATATTATGTGTAATTTCTTTTGTTAGACATGAACTAATATCTCTTTTTGGTTAGATGTAGCATGTGTTGTGTTTTTTAATTATTATCAACAATCTGTTTATGTTATTTTATTTTTTATCTTTGTTTTGTAAATTTTAATAAAATAGATAATGAATTTTTAATCATATGAATACATATTAATACCACTAGAGTTTTGTTAAAAAATGAGAAGTGAGTGGCAGACTCATCATGACTGTCAATACCATAGTTGATGAACCCTTGGTTAGAGATTATTATGATATTCTTAAGTGGTCCTACTTGAGATCTTAAAAAAGATTGATAATTTATCATGCAATACATTTATCACCGAGAAGTAGACATATTTTCTAAGAGGAAGTAGAAACCCTATATTTGTAAGAGTATGGAAATGTTTACATTGATTAAACTATTGTACAATTTAACCAAATGCATCCTTAATATTGATTCCCAATTAGTATAACTAACATGTGTGAAATCCAACTCCTAAATCATTATTTATTTATTTTCAAAGGCTTTTCCTTTATTTGTATTATATGTTTGGTTGTTTCATTACCTCGATCTGACTATTTGTACAAGAATCAATTGACAAAGTTTCAGTACTTGCTATCTCTTAAGATGATATTTTTACTATTCACCTTCTTACTCATGTGATCATGTGCTCTTACACAAGCATAATAAATTTCATTAATAATCAAATCAATACTTTTAGAAAAAATTAACGCATTAAAGAAAAGGACTCAAAATATGAAATAGGATTAATATTTATCTAAAATTTAAAATTACATTCATAAGTTACATTTTTCATTTAGCAATAAGGTAAATCTCAAATTTTGTTTCATAACCACAGAAGATGCCATAAGGTTTCTTTTATTCTTCAATGCATTGATAAAATTGTATGCCAACATGGGGTTTCTAAATAACACTAGAAGTTTTTGAAAGAATCTTCTAAGGTTCTTAAAGCTTTCTCTTTTCTTTCTTTTCTCTTAAGAAAAATCTACCAATCATCTTCCCCGATCTTTTGCTAGTGTCCTTTTTTATAGGGGCTTAACGTATACTCTACCTACTACCTCATGGATCTTTCTTTCCTCCTATTGTTTCTTCTCACTATCATTCCTTTCATGGTGTTGATCCTTTTCTTAACTATAAAGGGAGTATTTCAACTCATCTATCTACCTCCACTATTTCACAATATTGTTATTTGGATGTTCAATGGATCAACAATGAAGAATATATTATTGGTTATAGTTGCTTTCTAAAGAAAATATGTTTAATATGATTTGTCTTTTAAATACTCTCAACCTCTTCTATCTCAAATCCTAAATCTCTTAATCATTTTAAAATTTTACCTAATAAGAATAGTATTAATAATTTTACTATTGTTAATAATGGAAGAATTTGGGTTAGATGGAACTCACTCTTTTTAATTTTTCTTACCTTAGAAAACATTTCTTAGTATAATCATGGACACATTTTTTATTCTTCCTCCATAAATTTTTATATTAATATTGTATAAGATAATAATAATCTTATGGTTATGACGAATGATTTATGAATTTTAATTAATTTCAATGCTATGAATATTCACACGCATTGGATTTTTTTGAGTGGGTTTAATTATATTGATATGTTGGAAGAAAAGGTTGGCGGTATTTGATACGCCTAAAATGTGTAGTGCTTTTAGATACATTTTTATACCTATTTTTGAGATATTACACTTTAATGGAAGGTATTTTTGTGTTTTTCTTTCAGGAATAGGTAAAATGGTGAAAAATGCTTAAAGGAGTGAAAAAGGATCAAATTTGGAGCAAATAGGTGAAAAATGTGCATAAGTGTTTTGGTGCCTAAGCGCCGGGTAAATAGAAAAGGCCGAGTCTAAGCACCAGAGACCCCGCACTTAAGTGCCAGTGACGGTTATTGGAGGAGTAAATTCAGTTTTTGTGAATTTTGAAGAGATTTTTGAGGCACCTATTGGCTTAATAGGTGATGGACAAAATTATTGTGAAAGGATGCATCTCTTAGGGAAATACATCGAATCAAGACACATTTTGAAGAGATACCTAGGCACATTTTTTAGAATTATAAAAGAAAGATGATTGGGACATTGAAAGAGGTCCTGAAAATACTGGGAAAGTCTTGAAAGTTCAAAAATTTGGGAGTTAGTTGGAGAGATTTTCAGGCACCACATATTT